TGTTCGCCTGGTGGATTTGCTTACCCTCCCACTCTCTTCGCGATGTGACATATGACACGACGACAGTTTCCTCATTAATTTATGCTGTCTGCGACAGAGGTTGGTAAATTGAAAATTTCGAGATGAGAATCGACAGTCTCTCTTAGAGAATCCATAGAGAGTCGCAGCGCGTGAAAATTGAATACAAGCTTTCTTTTCTTTGCATTATCCTCGCCATTTTTATATTTCGCACCAGCAACGTCAAAGGCGGAAAAATATCGTGAAACTCGACGCGCGTTCTTTCTTCAATAAGAAGATACGATACGTGAAGATATAGTCTCTTTCGAGATGAACGCGCGTATACTCGTTTTAAGACGCTCGTCTCGACAGCGTCTTGGCAAAGTTTTAACCACGCGCTACTCTCAAAGCGACACTTAATTGGTTGCTCCTCGAATCAGGTATCTGAGGCATTATGAAGTGCTATACAGCACGAAGAACGGGCTTGAAAACACGCTCAACTTCGGACGATAGTTTAATAGACGCGTCCAAGTATATCTAAAAGATAACTCGCGCGCCAAATTTCTCGCGGAATAAAGTCACGTATGCAAGCTCGATGACCGGAAAACAGAATATAAAGGAGGAAATCAACGGGAGAGGCTGATTCAGGTTATCGCAGGTTTTCTTCTATGCGAGCTTTTACGAGTTTATATGACTTCGAGACACTACGATTTCTTTGCAATGTATATTCAGAATCGTGCAGAATTTGATTTATGGCAGCGTGACACGGGCCCACGTGGGAAAGCCGACCTGTCATTCTGTCACAAAGGTATATAAACCAGGCGAAGGTCGCAACTTAAGGGATCATTACCCTCGATACGGCCTTCAATTTCTGCTTCCTCCTAAACAAGATATTCTACTACAAATCGGTTGCATGTCATCCCTTCGTTTCGTAAGTAAATCCCCGAAAGTCGATGACCCGGTTAATCTGATTGCCTTCAAAAGTTACAGTCTCTACAGTCTCGGTGTAATTATATCATATTATATTATTTGTACTTTATATTACAAACAGACTATTTATTTTTTAAAAATCAGATTTTTCTAACACGTGTCTAAACGGAATATAATATAATTAAATCTATGGCTGATGTTGAAACTTCTCAAGTTACGAACATACTGAAACACTAAAAGCCGCTGGGAACTTGTCTTGTTTCAAACCCGTAATTTTCCCGTATTAATTGACAGAGCGCCAAGAGGCAAATTTGTTGGCATCGGGGTACTTTAGCAGCGTAAGAGCTTCGCTTGTGTAAATTGGGCTTAGCCGTAAAGAGTCGAGCGAGCTAAGTGAATGCAGTGCGAAGTGCTCGACAATGTACCTACGCCTGCATTAGACATGAAATAGCTTCGAGTTGACTTCAAATTCGCGTAATATCACAATGTGCCAACGTCAGAAAGTCTCTGCTTGTGCTTAATAAGAAGCATTAAATTGCACGATGTATGTACATACATACATGTGTTGCATATGCGTTATATTAAAATAGAATTTTTACAAATAATGTACAGATTAGTTTAACAGAAATAAATTAAGACTTCCGAGTTCTTTTGCATCGTATAAATGTATATAAATGTATTTTCTGTTTTTCAAACAAACTGCTTTCTGATTGATCTTTATAAAAAATACCGAAATCCGCAAATTAATTTTCACGATAAAACGATCAACAACTTTTTAGCTCTCGAACGAGAATTAATTACCTTAAAATCGGAAGAGAAACTTTAAAATACAATTTGTCGGTTGAAAAAAAGTGTAAATGTTTGAACTTTTCGGAGATAACGATACTCGAGGAAACTCGCAAGAATTTGGCAACTTTTTACGAGTTCACTAACCTTGACCAATATTTTTTAAGAGAGAAAGCCGAGAGGTAGGTAAAAAGTTCTCGCGAAAGAAAATCTCGTGAAAGGTAAACGTCAGCTGGAAACTTCATTATCGGAGAAAGCGAATTTCAGTGTAAATACAGAAAAGATCTTTGGCGTTGAAACGATGAAGAGCGCGACTATTTCTCACAAACTGTTCTCCGCTTTTTACGAGCTTTCACTTACTGCGTTTCATCGCTAACGCGCCATCGAAATGCGAATTTTATTGCATCAAACGTCGTCATCGTCGTTATTGCAGATCCCCATGGAAGATGGAAAGTCTCGTCAAATTTTACTGGGTCATGAATCGCTGCCGACAGGTATCGAACCTTTCCATACATCAGCAGTATGATCGTGTAAAGATATAATGTAATGCAATTTTAGATACACGCCATGGAGTATACATATAATGGAATATAATTGTTCACAATGTGTGTCTAATTACATTTGCTTGATAAAAGCATGAAAGCATGATTTTTTAATTTTTTAGATGTTGGTTAAAACGCAATTAATTAAATTTCAAAGGTGTTTTCTTAATTCAACCTACATGCGTTACAGAATATAAAATTTTTATATATATATATATATATATAAAATTGAAATATATATAAAAAATTGAAATTATTCTTTACAACTTTTTTGACATATAAACATATATATATATATGTATATATGTCAAAAAAGTTGTAAAAAATAATTTCAATTTTTTCGTAAATGAGATATCACTTAATTATCCATCATACCAAGATGGTATCTGAAACGGATGATTCATTTTTGGTATCTCGATATTGTCTGGAATTATTTATCACGCTATATCCGGGTGGATGAAATAAATCTCGAGGCATGCACGCTCGACGCACGTCTAAATTCAACTTTTCCAAAACAAAGCTGCGTTTCTCAAAGCCGCGTGAGCCATTTGTGTCAGGGTTAAAGCACGTATATGTACGTGATGCATGCTCGCCTTTTGCACGTAGCGATGTACTTAACTATGACCGTACGATCTTTACAGACCTTAATCCGGGATTCCATTTTCGAGATTAACGGCTACGCTTCGGGAGTGCGAACATGGTCAGATTAAGGTAGGGACAATGATTACCAAGTATATCAAATATCACACCTCACACAAACTGAATACTTAGTCATTATGAAAACAACGCTTTTACGCGTAAATTATCAAAGGAGAATTTAGATGCCACATGTCTTTTTCGCACGAAAGGTATTCATTTCACAAAATATTTGATTAAAAGGCTGAAAAGCATTTATTAAATATGAGAGAACTAATATTCTCTAAATTGACGTCAAACTATTGTTTGCAAAAAATACTATTTTTAGTTTACAAATTTCGAAATATTTCGAATAATGCGCCACTAAAATTGTTATTTTTTTTTTACTTTAATTTCAATTTTAACTGATGTAGAAATGTGCCATCACACAATTGATGCTCCATTGGACTTTTATCTTTTTTTTTTGAGCGGGGGAAAGAAAAAACAGAATTTCTGCTTGCTTAAAATCATCGAAAAATTCAATGGATAATATGTCTACGCATAGCTTAGAGCACTTCTGCGATCTCGAAATTTTACGCGAGCGAATTTTACGATGCGACAATTCTAAAATAACATGCGCTTGACATATATTCGTTTTCCATTCCGTAAGTATACGAGTAACATAATTCTGCCCTGTAACATTTCTCGCTCGCATGTCGACGTTTTCTGATCCTTTCTACGCAGAATATTCCGAAATCCTTACACAGACAACAGAATGGTCATTCAACTCTCTCATGTGCTTTGCTGAGCGCATAAAATATTCTTATCTCTATGCTGCGGTCAGCAATGAGTAATTGCAGTGGAAACGAGCCGAAAGTTTAATTAGTAGTCTAAGTTTAATTAATGTCCACTTTGACTGTGACAATTTATGCTTCTCTTACCTTCTGTCAGCTCTCAATTTATCGTGATAAGTTTTTTTAATGCTCTTAATCAAATAACAACATTCTCTGTGCATAGACAATTAAATCACTCTTAACATAAAGTTGTATACTAAAAAATTATATAATGTTGTTATCATTTTTTGCAGTTTACGCAAAATTAAATCGTAGAAATTCTCGACAAGATTCAACATTCAGCGTATATAAGCAAAGCAATCACATTATTTGAAACAAGCATAAACAACTTCTTTATACTAAAATAAACCAACAATGTAAATCAACAAGCATTATGCGATATTAACGCTGTCTTGTTTGCTTTCTTGTTAGGGGTAGTTTCTCTTAAAAATGATAATTTATACCATTCTTTTTTTTCCCGAGCACTCTAGGAACACGACCTTGCTACTCGAGCAGCACTTATACGCGACGTATAGATTTCAGTAATAAACAGAACCTATCTCAAGAGCAACGTCTGTTATTTCTTCTTTCTTTCTCGAGCTCGCGTTACGCCGTGTGGCTTCACCCCTGAACTACATTTCACCGACGTTTATGTAAAGAACGCGTTTATAGATTATCGCCATATGACATTGAAGTCGTCACGTAAAAGCGGCGAATCTGGCGAATTCCAAAACGTCACTTTCTAAAGTCAATCTTGTCTCAGTGGTTGTTTAAGCTTTTCCTTGAAAAATCTCACGAATCTCAGACCTTAAAAACTTGATCGAACTTTTTACGACAATCTTCGTAAAATTTTATCATTTTGTTTGAAAAATGTTGAAGAAAAATAAATATTTTTAATTTATAATAAATTTTTTAAAATATATGTATATAATATAATATTCTATAATATTTTAAATACATAAAATAATTTTTAACATTTTCAAAGATTTTTTTTAAATAAATTCCAAATGAAGAAAAAGAATTCGAAAAACATATGGCAGCTAAAGCCAAAAACATTAAAATTTCATTAGACTTTAGTTCTCAAGATTCATCTTTAAATTATAAAATGCATACATTCTGAGATAAAACATATAATACTATACATGCGAAAAAAATGATAAAATGACAAATTTTTTAATCTGATTTTTATACTGTAAATTCATATTGTATTTAACGTCAATATACTTTAAATCCTCGAAATGATTTGTATAAGTTTAGAATCACTTTAAAATAACTTTTTTGAACTTACTTGTAGATCAGTTGTGACATGTTGTGACAATCAGAAGACTCGACTACTAAGGTATCATCTTAATTTCGAACCGTGAACCGTTCCTCCATGATAAGGACACCTTGAAATTCATCTCGAAATTCCGTGACATAACTCATTTGCGTAGCTCATTATCGATCATGCCGATGAACTTATTTGCGACTGCTCTCTGGAATCTGAAAATAAACGTCGGAGAATTATTCTGGCGAGACGGTCAAGGTCACGAACGTTATTAAATCAAATTCCAACATCGCGTTGTCTGTCGCTAAGTCAACTTATAATTAAAAATACATTAAAATCTGTTCTTAAAAATAAAATTTTTTGTCGAGTTTAAGACAGAAATATGTGTAATATAAAACGAAACTTTTTTATCACTTTTAATAAAGAACAGTAAGATTTGTGCAAATCTTTTCAACAATTCTAAAGTTTGCAAGAGCAAATTTATCAAAGTAGATTGCAAATTCCATACTTTAAGCTTCGTCAAATTAAAATTCCACGTCTCTGTGGATAGTTCATGCCTATAATATATTTCCGAAGACCCTGAATCGATATATTCGCAGTAAGCAAACGTTCGTAGATAGTCTATTGTCAACAAGCATAAATTTCGCAGTTACATGTAGTATGTTTACCGTACGAAATGCATAATGTAATTTACTTAGTAGTGTGCGCCGTCTGCTTATTTGTTTCATCGTATTGTATCTGAGCATCAGGGCAAAGCCGACCTATGTAAATTCAACACTTCCCGCCTCCAACGCATAAATATATATATATAGCTTCGGACACCGATATCAAATGCAACAAGATTAATGATCCATTGATGACACATAATGATGTCACCGATAAATTGCGGCTAACATATGTAATTACTAATAATTGGATAACTTGCTTAATTCGATAATTACTCTAATTGCATTGATATTATTATATCGCCTCTATTATCCACGAATACAATGAATCCGAGATATTCAGTGTAATCTATAAGTAAACAATCAAAAAACATATCCATGATTTATTGCGTCGGATTTGGCGCTGACATAGATTTTATAAATGTCTTCTTGCCACGCAAAAAAGTATGCTCAATCGTAAATGATAAGACACCATCAACGGAAAAGTGAAAAATGAATAGACGTGGGCAAGAAGTGATGAGGAAATTGATTTGGTCTAACAGTCAGTTTGTGCTATTCCGAAAGTGACTAATGCAACTCACATTTTATGCCATACCCACGCATAGTTTAATAATCGATGACGACAATAATAATCTACGATTGAAATTCTGAAAAAGCTTGAAATGCACATCTCTATATATGCGTTCTAAAAACATCGCATCATTTTATATGAATTATTATATAATTTGAAAAAATACGCTCTGCGAGTGTATCCAAATTAATAATGAAGATAAAGCTTTTGCAGACAAAAAATATGATATGTTATATAAAACTTCAGGCTTTATTTATTAGATTATTTATATTTATATCGCTATTTAATAGATAGATAGATAATTATATAAAAATTTCTTTTAATATCTTTCTACATATAACACGGATAATATACTGTATATAACGAATATATTATAAACAAATATTAAATTATGATATTAAAGCTACAAATTTGAACCGCGCGTTAATCTTATTTTTATTTCTCGCAGGAAATTTTAATTAAGAAATCAAACGACGCAAGCTTTATCTACAAAATCAATTATATTTGCATGCAACGAATACGGCAGATGGTAATTGCATATTCATTTCCATTATCGCAAAGCGATATCGTACGAATGCGAAATACAAAAATATAAATGAAATACGCGTAACTCGCGCGCGAGATTTTATTCGCAATTGCGACGTTTATCGAATAACAATTTTTATTGCAAAATATCGGCTCGCTCAATTTTTTACGTTAAAATTCTAAATATAATAATTTAGACGCATTGAACAAAATTCATTTATCGAGCCACCTGAAAGAAGAAAGAATAAAAAGAAAAAGATTAAGCATGTAAATATACCCATTTAGCCATAATTGCATTTATATGAAATCCCGAAATTAATTCGACGCGAATTTCTCCTAACGTCGCGCTAAATCAATTGATTAGCCTTCCCAAAGTTCAGGCAAAATTTCATCAATATTAAACTTTCGACGGTTCGGGAGAATTTCATCGTGACATCGATAGATTCGTCGGATTCCCGCATGAATCAGGGCAAATACATGTGGGATTCGTAAAGAGCTTTGTAGATCTACATTTATACATGAGAGTCACGTCTCTTCGGAATCACGCGTCGCAACAAAGCAAGCAAAATTGTACGCGATGCGTCGGTGGCAAATGTCCGGTGAGATTGCGCAAAATAAAGTATAAAAAGTTGTTATATATGTGTATATGTGTGTATGTGTAAAGGTTGAGTAATGTAGGCGAAAGAATTTTTCGTTATTCAGATATACGCTATTCTCTGTTTGTTCCTTAAGCTCGCTCCAACACGGTATTGTCGATGGACTATTTTAGACGAGCGGGACCTGATCTGCCGATGCTCGAGCAAGAATGAAAAAAGATGAAAACACCGATATCATGAATGCGACATCGTGGATTAAAAGTAAGCGATGCGAAAAAATTGCATCTGCAATTCCGCGAATTCCTAAAAATATATTACCCAGTCGTGATTGTCGCTTGAACATCAAATCAGTTAAGCTTAATTGTGGGGAATTATAATTAATTGTTTCTTAAATAACTTTATTATTAATGCATAGTATTTGTTCGAAGAATATACAGGTGAAATTCAATTATTGTACGTCTGATTGTGTGAGTACGCACTATGTCTCTAACATCTGCGCAATTTTGGTTAGGTACATATTATTCAAAATCAATAGTACACAGTGAATTAGAAATTAATCGCTACATTAAATTTACTGATACAGCGATACGATTTCACGATAAGCTGGAGCAATTACTGCAACACGCTATCGCAGAACTAGGAAACCCGAAAATCAAGCTGCGCGGATTGCGCAAATGTCAATTATACGATCAGTTGCGAATTAATCGTGAGTAATTACCCGAAAGAGAGACGATATGCATATACGCTTGCTATATAGGTTCTGTCATTAGCCACATTGATCGATATAGGATAATGTCATGCCTGTATTCTCCTCGAAAACTCTGGTCGTGAGAGACGATCGAATTATAGATCGGAATTATAATTAACCGACGTTGTATCCACCGGTATCATCAATCTCAAGATTTATTTAAACCTTTATATATATATAGATCACGTTAAAATATTTCCGTAATTTATCAAGCGCAATCATTCTGAAACACTATATATTAAAAAATCGACTATAAATATATATTATAGTATATATAATATAATATCGACTATAAATATTGAAACACGATCTTTCATATATATATATATATATATATATATATATATATATATATATAATTTTTAAAAGACTATCAATTCAAAAATTTTTCTTCATGTAAATTAAATAATTTAAATATACAACTTAAATCTCTAATAATTTTTCTCTCGTCAAAGTTTGCATATAATTTTCGGTTCCTGTAATTAAACATACTGTAATTTTATATTTTATTACTCGATTTATTTTATAATATTATCGCCAACATCGGATATTGAAAATAATAATTTATCCAATATTTGTAAATAAAATTTATCGTTTTAGATTTTATTATTAATCACAGCAGATGTTAGTAAATTTGCACCTAGAAAGTTAGCTAAAATTGCTTGCGATTAAATCTCCGATAAAATCTCTGATAAAAATTTGATCTCTCTACTGCTCTTAGATTACACTGCAGTAAGAAGAACGATCCTAATGAAACCAAATTCTAAGGCATTAGTTTACAAGTCACGATACGATTCGAGGATTGCTAAAAACGAAAAATTCTACGCGATAACGTAGAAAGATTTTTCCAGCGACTTAGAGCTGCGCAAAATAGTTGAACCGTCTGAGTTTCTCGGATCACTCGCACACAAATAAATAGATAGGTAACATAAGAAAGTACTTCCGCGCGACGTGATGAGCCAAAAATCGATGCGACGAGTAGCAGAAGAAAAAAGATAATCGCTTTATCACGTCTAGTTTTTTTTATCTCTTCTTACAATTTCGTCGCTTTTCTCAACGTCATCGTTCTTGCCATTCATTCATTTATTAAATTCATTCATCCATTCTCCATCGCCTACGCGACAACTTGATATCTTTGAAAAGACAGCTTTTGTCTGGTAAAAAGCGCGAATTTTACGAGATCAAGGAAGATACAATATATCCCGAATATAAAGTGAGCTCGCTAAATTATGGTTTGATTAATTCATTATTATTCACTTTTTTTCGTCGCGATGGCGCGATTCATAATATACAATATACGTGTTGCAAAAAAGATATCAGCGTATCTATCCACAGGAGATCGTTAGATATACATATATATTCCTCGAACAACAATGCCTCATATCAAATTATATTAATGGTCCCATTTTGACATATGGATAGCGAGCGTTATACATGGAATTATTTTCCTTTTAAATGATAATTACAGGAATGACGACACGTTAATCTTGATAAACGATACTTTACAAGATCTAAAAATATTTCAAGGCTAAAGATAATAATCAGATCTAACGAAAGCCTAAAGAGAATACCTATGACTCTTCTAACTCTTTACTTTTTGCACTCCTTCATTTCCGCGAATGTCATTTTAAGAGCACATTCAAAACTACAGATAACTTTTAAAACATGACACGTGTACGAGACAATCTATAATCATATATAATCTATAGTCATATATGCGGTAAATAAGTTTACGGCGACTATAGTGTGTGATGATATATGCAACATCGACTATATTTATATACCTGTTCGATTTATATTGTCAAGTTAAGTACAGCTAGGACAAACGTTTATTACAACCTATAAATTAGACGAGATAAGCAAGCATAATAAGCAACGTATAAACTCAAGAGTCTGTTCCCTCGAAATGAGAATTCATATAATTTTGTGAAATAAGCTGTCGTGCCACTAACTAAATTGAATGTTCGTAAAAGAAAAATTTCGTGCATTTCTTTAACATTTCTTTAATATTTCTTTAATATTCTCTTCTTCTTTTACTTTATTTTACTTTTAAAAAATATGTATCTATCGAAATATATACAACAACCTGCTTTTATATTAAATATAATTA